ATTGTTCTTATCGATACTTATGTTATAATTCGATTGCGTCCTCGTACTTTATTTGAAACGCATATCCTTATTGGTGATAATTCGGTCTCCTTATAAATTATTTCAATCGACTTATTAAAACTTAATTGTTTCAAATTAATATTCGTCTCATGGTGAACGGTTCGGTATTATTACTAATTATGGATCAAAAAAGGATGCATATTTTCGTTAAACAACAAACTGGTTACAAGATACTGAAGCTATATTTGATCGGGTACAACTACAGCCCATGAATAAATATATAGTAGTACAACAGCATTTATTTGGTACTACTGACAATTGGTTTCGTTATAATAATGTGAACATTCCTGATTGGTCTTCATTTAAGATTGCGATCACTCGGGTGTAGGGTGTGGGTCTTTTTTAACTACTCACACCCNATCTATCAATTGAAGATTTTTCATAGGAGATACGGATTCTTGCTTCGCATCGCATTTCGTATACGAGTGAAACTCGAATACTATCTAGTTTTTGTTTCTCTTTTTGTTTTATTTTTGATGGCTTCATCTTTTATTTTCTCACTTTTCTCTTTGTTTTCTTTTATTTTATTTTTACTGTCTCATTGTATTGCCCTCATCGCTTTTACTTTCTAAAGTTTGTAAACGAAAGAAAACTGTTATTAATGGTGTCCCTATAGGACCTAGGAAGGTCAAAGGATAATAAAAACGCAAACAAATAGCTTCGTTTTATGTTCGATGATGATTTATACGGAACCCCTTGTGCGAAACCCTAGTTATGAGCTGTTGAAGATGAAGGATTTTTACGAAACCTAATTTGCACTAAACCTAAAAGGATTTCGATTTGCTTGCAAAAATCGGAATCCTTTAGGGTTTCGTATGGTACCTTTCTTTTCAGCGTAGAATAAAACTTGGCGCTTTTCTCTGTTGTTTAAAAAAAAGAAAGTTGGTATAGTTCCATAAAATAGTGAAAATCTACTAAAACATTTTTAGGAAGGGACTTTTAGGACACACGGTATGTGCTAGTGATTTCAGTGATTTCAATGACTTCTCATGTTTTTCTAATAATTAAAATCGATTTTCAGGCTTTATTTTCGTCCGATCGCCTTTTAATGATTTCTGGTGATTTCTAGTGATTTCCAGCACAAGAAATCAGTTTTTTCCTCCTTAAGTCTGTTGCTCACTTGGGTACGACGACATGAGAAGAATAACAAAATGGGTGGATTCTTCTATTAAGATGATATAATAATTGAATTCATCTAGACACCATTCACATATTTCGTTTCTCTTTTCTAAAGTGTTTGACTATTCTATTCGATCAATACTAGGCGAAAATAACTAAATACAATTTTCTATTCTTTCCAATAAAGAAATTGATATTTTTCATAGATAAGAAATGATCTAAAAAATGATTCTATAGGTTTAAAACGAATATAAAATATCTATAAATAATTCAGAGGCGGTGGCACGCTTTGAAATTGTATTAAGTTCTGTTACAATCTCCTTCATTTTACCTTATCACAGAAAATAATAATCTTCTTTTCTCAAACGCTAACACTGGCTCAAATATAATAGATATATCCTGCCATAACATTATGAATTTAATTTATCAGTCAATTTTTTGAAAAATAAAAATTATATCACCTGTAGGAAATGTTCGTAGAGAGATGTGCCCAAGAGGGAAAGGACTGATTGTTCGATTGCATGGTTAATCAGTCTTCAGCTATGAAAACTACCGAAACCTAGTATGTAAGAATTTAGTAAATATTCAAAGGATTCGAACTGTCACCCAACTATTGGGTGTCATAATTAGCTTTTGAAGAAGTGATTGTTATAACTGACAAAACTATATCTAAATAGATCTTTTGAATGAAACTAATTTGTCATACTTTTTATTGAGCTCAGTTCGGATTTCACTTGATACTTTCTGCTCTCAATGAATTCGATTCATAGCTGCACTTAAGTGGTTAGTTAAATTCAACTGGCATCAACTTTAAAGCTGTTCAGACTCTAATGAAAAATTTTGCTCAAACAAACAAACAGCCGTACGGTGGTTGTCAAATGAGAAGTCGACCGATTTTGCCATCGGATCGTTTGAAAGGTATTATGAATAATAAGCAGATTTGAGCCACTTTTCATATTTTTCTCTCGAGAAGTTGTCATTGTTTACATAATCACTCCATTAATAATTTTCACTAGGCTAATTACGAATTCCATCGTTAAAATAAACTATTATCGTCATAATGAGAGATGAATGTTTGAAATGAGTCAGAAAAAAGTCGTTTCCTCTATTTCTCAGTATTAAAAACTATTTTACAATCAAAGATAATTTGCTCTATTTAAGAAAGAACTTGTATGGTTTCAACAAGAACAATCATTAGTACATCTACTCTGAAGTCAATGTTGTAGTTTATTATATAATGTTTTGTTAGGATTGATTAAAGATGAAATTGTAAATGATAAAGAAGAAGCTGATTTATTGTCTATTGCATTTGAACTACAGAAATAATTAAAGAAGCAACAAATATATTGATATTAATGAAACTACTCGAATGTACATAAAAAGTTTAACTATGAATGAAACAAAAGTTTTATGTCAAGATATTCGATAAATTTAGTGTTCGATGGGGGTAATATCTTATCGCCAATTCATCGTTTCGCCAATTGTAGTTTTCTCCAATTGGCGAACATCCACTAGTAATTCGCCAATTGGTGAATTTCGTGAGGAATTTCGCCATTTGGCGCACACAGGAATGCGAAAATATTTTATTTATTGGCGAATGTCATACTAGCAATTCGCCAATTTGGCCAATGCCACCCTAGTAATTCGCCAATTTGGCGAATGCCACCCTAGTAATTCGCCAAATTGGCGAATGTCACCCTAGTAATTCGCCAAATTGGCGAATGTCACACTAGCAATTCGCCAATATGAATGAATTGAATCGTAGCTCAATTATAATACTTCATATTTTTACTACATTACCTGATTTAGTGCAGATGTAATTGTGTATTAATAAAAAGTAAATAAATTTTGTGTGTTTTACTTAGTCAATATGTGCTTCGCGTTGTGTCGGACATGTAGCATTGAACCAGCACAGAACGCCCTCTGTGCATAATATAGTTTTTATATCATTAATATCTCGCACTCGGCCGTATCCGATAGGTGATGATATAGTCAGAGAGAAAAGGCTTTGTTCTTGTATCCATTTCTATTTATTCATTTATTTACTATCGAATATTCTAATAAAAATTTTCAAATTATCACTATGGTTCAAACAAGATCAAAATATCGTTTACTTCAAAGTAATGCAGCAGCAGTAGTATCGGGAGAAGCAAAACAACTATCCTCATCAACACCACAACCTGTTAAGCGGAAAAGAAAATGGAACTATGATAACAATGATGGAGATGCAGGAATAATAATAAATTCTACTACTAGAAAAAACAGAAAGGACACGAGATATATCCATCAATCAATACAATCACCGCTATCTCCACTACCTGATCTTTCAACAGTTCTTTCATTAGAAGCAGTTGATCATGCACTTGATAGTAGTGACAAAGAAGATCAACATCTTGCCACTTCATTTGTTGTGCTTGAATCAAGTGATTCTGAAGACGAAAACTTCGACACTAATCTTCATTTACAACAACAAATATTAATTGATGCTTTTAATCATGAAGAAAGTGGTTCAGAAATTTCACAATCAAATATAAATGTTGATTCAACTGCACCAAATACTGCTTTAATGCAACAATCAGATTCATGGCCAATTGAAAAAGGTGATTTACAATGGACAAAGACGAAGAATGGCAAAGATTGTTTAATTATCGGCAATTTTAGCTATATACACATGTCTGAATCACAGAAGAAAAACACACTCAATTTAAGATGTCAACGACGTGATACAAAATGTGGTGCAGTTGTACATTTAATTTTGGATACACGTTTGTTCATCGATACTAACAGTGTCAATCATAATCATCTTCCTGATAGATTTGGTATGAAACAGAAATGTTTGAATCAGAAAATTGGTGACAGAATTGCTATTGAACCAACTTCAGTTTTAAAAATTATTGAACGTGTATATGCCGAAGCAAACTTAACAGATGAAGAACAACTGCATATACGTTTGCCCAAAACAGTAGGTAAATCTCGAATAGCTTACTTTCCTCAAGATTGAACTTTACTATGCATTTTCTCTTTTCATTTTATTCGAGCTAATACTTTTTATAAAAGAAGATCACGTCGTTATCCATCACATCCGAAGACACAAGATTTTGATATTCCTGATTTTTACAGCAAAACTTTTCGTGGAGAAGATTTGATAATATATGATAGTAATAAAGAACAGTATGAAGGACGTTTATTGATGTTTAGTACACCAAAACTGTTATCTGCTTTATTTAACTCTGATATTATCCTATGTGATGGAACTTTCAAGACCCGACCATTATTGTTTCAACAAGTTTATGTTGTAATGGGAAAATATCATGGTGAAAGTAAGTGTCACTCACTGGGAAAGCCGTGCTACTTAAACTTTCTCAGGTTACTATTCAATCTTTTGTATTTTTGTGTCATTTAGCAATTCCTCTATTGTGGTGTTTAACTTCCTGTCGAACTCAGTCAGTATACGATGCTATTTATAAAAGATTAAAAAAAATTGCTAAACAAATGCAAATGGAATGGAAAATGACACAATGTATGATGGATTTCGAACGTGCCGTTATGAATTCTTTTCAGGAAGCAGTAAGTAAAATTGAGTTGTAACTCATTGATTGAACTTTTTCTATTTAGTTTCCAAACATTGATCTGAAATGTTGTTGGTATCATCTCGTACAATCTCTCTGGAGAAAAATCCAGAAACTCGGTCTCACTATTCCATATGAAACAGATCCACTAGTTAATTCATGGTTGAGACAATTTATGGCTTTACCATTAATTTCAAAAGGGTTAATTAATGATGCTTTACAGCTCTTGAAAGACACTATTCCTTCAAATGATAATAAATATCAAAAATTCATCCAATATTTCGAAAAGGAATATATGAAACGTACTTCTATTGATTTATGGCATCATGGCTGTAACGACATGAAAACAAATAATTCTTTAGAAGGTAGAAGCTTTGATAATATTTCTGTATCCCTCATTTGTCTTTTTATTTGGCTTCTTTAGGATACAATTTTAGATTATTAACACGGTTTGGATTACATCCATCAATATGGGAATTCATGCATTTTTTAAAAGATGAAGAAGCACTTGTTTCACATCGGATTACACATTTAGGTGGAGGAGGGGGGACTACTTCTAGTACATTAGTTTATTCATCTGTACAATCTAGAAGAAAAGTAAACAAACATAGAAAGCACTTGTTAAATTTAGAAGATTTGTTTGTGTCAAAATCTATTGGTTTGAAAGAATACTTAAAATCTGCCTCGTTAATAGTTGGTAAAGCTGTTGCACAAAATACAAATATAAATACCATTGATCAAGCAACAGTAGATGTATGTTTAGTCGAAGATGAAGATCGGGACGATTGAACAAGATTATTAATTATAAAAACATGAACTTATTCAACTTTTTTTCATATAACTACTACACTTCTTTCTTTTATTGAAATAAAAATAGTTTCAGAAAATTCAGCTTAATTCTTACATTCAATGGTTACAATTGGCGAATGTCACACTCGTAATCCGCCAATTTGGCGAGTGTCCCACTAGTAATTCGCCAATCTGGCGAATGTCCCACTAGTAATTCGCCAATTTGGCGAAATTCCTCACGACATTCGCCAACTGGAGAACACAGGAATATGAAAATATTTTATTTATTGGCGAATGTCATACTAGTAATTCGCCAATTGGCGAAATTCGTGGGGAAGTTCGCCAACGACAAATATGCAATTGGCGAACTTCACAATTGGCGAAATTACATAGACTCACTTGATTCGACGACCATCTCCTGGTCTAACGCGAAATCCAGAGCCATTTATGATTATCAGGGCGAGATAAACTTGTTACATATCCATACTATGTTACCCGTCGATACGATTCGACATCATTTAAAACGCCGAACAAAAGTGATTGCTCCGTCTGGCGCTACCGCAAGTACCCTCTCGAATTACCAACAAACCCACTTGGAGACACTATGATATCGATTACACAAAATATGAATTAGGTCCTATAACAATATTTCGGCATCGAATGTCACTCAGAATCGAATTAACCAGGGAACACGTCTCTAGCTACAGTCCAAAATGATAGTCAGAACCATTCTGCAATACTTCCTGAATTTTTCGACCGGTAAAAGGTGGCAGCGGACTGGCTTTCCTCAAAAGTAAGTGTGGTTGGATCCCGAACGAAAGATGCTTAGAATCGTTTTTCACGAGGAAAAGGCACGGTGGAATGATCTAAAATGGTTATCTGAACGATTCTCAAAGTCTTAGTGAGTTTTTCGATAGGCCAGGTTGAGGTGCGGAAGCATTTTCGGCCACGAAAAGTGTGGTTGCATCCGTAATGAAACATGCTTAGAATCGTTTTTCACGAGGAACAGGCACGCTGAAACCATCGAGAAGGATTATCCGAACGATTCTGTACGGCTGTTACAATTTTTTGATTTTTTTGCAAAATGATACCTGGAGCGATTTTCTTTAAATTGTTTTCTGAACACAAGGTCCATTTTATAGGTTTTGAAATTAATCACTCGATGAAACGTAAGTGGTGAAGATCCTGAATTACATTCATATGCATTTTCTATTAATTATCAATGATTTCGATGTGCGCAAAATGATGCGTGGAGCGATTTTCTATGAATTAATCTGCCCAATTATTACCCTTCAATGATGTTTAAAATTATAATAATTGGTGACAAAGTTAGTGGTGATGATCCAGAATGACATTCAGATGCATTTTCTATTAATTTTCAATGATTTCGATAGGTGCAAAATGATGTCAGGGCGATGTTTTCAAGAAGTGAAATGCAAGAAGTTGGCGCAGTGAACTGGTTGGCTTTGTGTTGAATGAATACGATTTGTAGTAGGTTGGTTTTGGATTATTCTAAGTGTGGGCATTGGTGAGTCAGATGTTGTTGGTTTCGGGTTAGAATTTTTTTAAGGTGATTGCTGTTGGGAAAAATGTTTGTTGTGGACCCGTTTGAGCGGTGAGGGTTTGGATTATGTTGTGGTTATTGATCAGGCGTTATGGTTTCGGTTGGTGTGCGTGTGTCTGAAGACTGTAGTTGATTCACGTTTTGATTGAAGAACGCTTGTATGAGAGATTTTTTATGAGGTCCTTGTCATCGGAATTGGATCGAATCCGGTCAAATTTGTGGTGAAACTGGCAGCATCCGGTAGTCGGAGTGGATCGGTTGCGACAATGTTCGGTTGTATTATCCGGCAGGAAACGACCGGATCATTTTCCTTTGAATTCCAACGGGGTTTCCGGGAGCAAATATTCCAGCGAAATCCCTGCCGGATCCTGGCAGATTTGAGTGGGAATCATGCCGTCTTCTGCTGTTATCCGGTGCCGGTTCCGACGAATCCCGACTGAATCCGGAGGCAGGATGGAGTGACTTGGGTTATAGGCATTCCTGAAAATGCTTATGATGCGGAATCCGATTACAAGAAATCGAGCTTCTTAGATGCATTCTTAGAATTTGAAAAGAACCTTGGAGATATATAAAAGATTGAGTAGGAAATAATTGTTATTGGATGAGTCACATAGCTACATTAACCAATAAATATTTTTTGGTTCATTGTTTTAAATTAAAGTTAACATGAGTTTGTAGAGAATTGAATTCTGTATCTACCGATGAGAACTTTAGAATCGTGTGTTATCTGGGTATCAGAATATTTGCAAGAGAAAAAATATCGCAAAACTTTTGCCGCACCCGGTAATAGATATTTTCTTAGTTACTGATAAAAGTTTCAGGCGTAGTTAAGTATATGAAACTCTCAAGTTGCTATGTTTGAAGTTATCAGGTTTCAGTATTTGTATGCGTGAATAGTGACACGTGATTACATATTTGTTGGACAGGAATATTGCGAACCAAACGCTGACATATATCTAAATCTACCATCAGTCAACATAGCAAAACATGCAAACATATATATGCAAAGACGTACAAACTATCACTTATAAGTAGCCACGTTCATTGAAAAACTCTCTATGTATAAGTAGTTTCTAGAATAATCTTTCGCTTTGCTCTAGTATTTTCTAAAAATAGATCTAGCATGCATAGAGTTTTATTGATAATCGAATATTTCTTGTAAAAAAAACATGTTCATTACAATTAATACAAATTTAATAAAATTTCATAACAGAAATCATTATCATGCTGAAAAAGAACGAGCTCATTGTCTTTGTTTTCGTGGTACTATTGCACAGATCTTTCTGGCAACACCATACACCATTTTCTTTAGCATTGAGTGAGACGCAGATTGGTAGGATGCTTCTGGTTACCACCGATGCTACTTTCGTTTTCTATTTTAATAGAGTTCAGCAAATTGGTTGTTAGAAATGCATGATTTACTTACCACGCAATACGCATCGTCTGATCCTACGGGTGTTTGAACCCCGGTTGAATCGAATGGATCATTGCAATTAACGCAAGAATAGCACCGTAGTCCATCGGCAGATTGCACCAGAACTACAATAGTCGCGAGAATATCATTCACTAACAAATAAAAACTTCTCTTTTTCGATTTCCTACACAGAAAGACGATGCAAACCGAAAACGAGTGCCAAAGAGTCAACATAGAAGATTGTATGTGTATGTCAAGAATATAGTGGTCTCACATGCGATAAACTTTGTGATAGATTTGTTGTATTTTATATGTATTCACATGCGTAGGATAAATGTTTGCGCGCAACAGAGACGGATAATTTATAAGCCAACGGAGTTTTGAATAAGATTATCGCGTTGATATACGAACTTATCGCATTCAAGTGTTTACCATAAACAACCAAATGCACTTGACACGAGAGGCTATGATTGCATGGAAACTGAAGGCACACGAAAGATACGGTAAATTGTTTTGTAACGATCATGGTTACACACAAGAGTAGTCAATAAAGCATCAACTAATCAGACCATTCTCATAAAAAAATGGTTCGCTACTACTATTTGTATTGTTATGGATCTTAATTGAGATATATTTAATGTCTGAGGGTATACAGTCTGAAAAAAATAAAGGGTGAAACCATGGAAAGCGTACCACTCTATAGACGACTTTCTTCAGATTAGCTGAAATTGACACGATTTGTCGAGCTCAGTGAGCTGATCATTTTGGTACAAAATACGTATAGGCTAGCATATGGACTTCAGTCAAAATTAGCAGAAATACGATTTCACGAATTTTTGAAATAAATAAAAGAATCCATCTATTGTGAGAACATTA